TTATGAAGACTACTCATACTACACGCAGTTCAGATTAGAAAATAAGTAGCTAAGAAAATCAGAAAATTAAGGCTTCTTAAAAAATACTATAAGCCAAAGAGTAAAGCAAAGGAATTCTACAATCGTAACATACTATATTATAAATAATATAGTAATATACTATATAATATTTTTTAATCATAATATACAACATTTTCTTCGTCCCCATCCTTATACAATGGTAAGAGCATCTGGCAAAAATCACCCTGCTGGACTGCTTTGAGAAGAGGTCAGACACCACAAACACCACAAATAGGTCAGGATCTTCAATTCTGCCTTTTCAAAAATCTCATCTGAACTACAGTGCCAGGTTTCAGTCAGCAGACACATGGCTACTTCCCTGCCTCTGTCATTTACTTGGTAGAGCCCCATTAATCCCCCAAATTTCACCCCTCCAATGATAACTATTCATGGGGAGAGCAGTTGAAAAGCACCATGACACAGATAAAGAGAAAGTACAGATTTAGTGAAATTTGACACAAGGAGGAAAGGGGAAAGATATGAAATTGTAAACAAGGTAGAATTCAACCTTCAATTTACTATTATGTTGCAAGAAATCAGTGTTATAAACACACTCACCGACATCTGGACATTCGAAGTACCGATACAATTGGATATCCTGCACCCACATAGGAGGGTCATAAAAGCGTTCACTCAACAATCCCAAATGTCTTAGCATTAATTCTACACTTGCAAAAAGGAGGAGAAAGCATAAAGGAAACAAGGAAGCAAAAAGATCAAAAAAAAAAAAAAAAGCTGATGAAGCAAAGTAAAAAAAAAAAAAAATCCAGTCACCCTCCAAACCTGTGAAAGCTTCTTAAACATCAAACCACCTATTTTGTCCTATCTTCTGCCAATAAAACAGAAGAGCCTAAGGACCCACTTGCAGATTTAGTGAGTGTTTCAGGGCCTATGGAAAAGTTAAAACAACTTGTGATGTTCTGCATCTCATAATGATAAAAGCGCAACTACCTTAAATGGCTCCATTACACTATTACATGCAACACAGCACAACACGGCAGTCCCTGCAGCCTCTGAGCAGCTACTTGGACAGCCAACACAAAAGCTGGAACTTGTTTGCAAGAGATATGATCATATGGACTTAGAGTCATTGGAATGATACTGGGCAAATGTTACGTTGCCTGAGGTTATGCAATAATTGGGCAGTAATCAGTAAAAACATTTAAGTCCTTGGTTTACTACTGCTTCATCACTAGCTTTGAAACAATACACTAATAAAGACCACAAAACTAAGAAGAAGTGAGATTAATGTGGTGTGTTATGGCAGTTTAGAGGTAAAACTCACTTTAGCAATATAAAATTTAAAATTCAACAATACTATTTAGAAGAGTAGAGAAGATTTAGTACTCCTTATTAAAAAAGAAAGCTATTCAAAGAGTCTGGCCTAATTACCACAGTGTGTATGTCAAATTGGTAAGTAAAGCAGAGCATACCAACGCTCACCAGAAAAGCATTATATACTGGACAGCTGACTATAGCACCTATAGTGCCATAGGTGCTATCAGTCCCTATCTAGATAGCCTTTTTGAACAATGCTTACCATCGAGAAAGAGAGGAACAGGGAGAGAGAAACGCATTAAAATGCTTCGACCAATATTCGGACATCAATTTTGACTGTACAAGTAGTTATATTTATGGCAGAATCCAAGATGACCAGAGGAGCCAGTGGAAGTGGCTCCTTCCAAGTTGTTTCATCAGGCCCTGAAGACATTACCTCATTTTTAGTAGGATTCTGGTATCATGTACGGTTACTGTAAAATTATTACAGAAGTGTGATTGCATCGTTAGCAAAAGTTTAATTATATCATTGACATTAGTGATGCCATAACATCAAGCTCAATAATAGTTCATAACAAAACCGACAATTAGCACAATTTTTCTCCCTTTTACACCAACTGAAAGCGTTCAGCTTGGAGAAGGCTAATAGCCCATACAGAAGTGAGCCAGGGCTGAACCTGAAAGGATTGCTGGCTGGTAATTTAGTAATATGGTAATTAAAGTCTTTTCATGATGTAATTACACATCAACTACAAAAGGACAGCTGCTATACAACAGTGCCAGGGTACGTGGCATGAAATGATTAGATTTGAGAAGCTTTAGTGGTTAAACTGAATACCACAGACATAAGTCTGAGGTATAGCTGGCACAGCATAGCACATTATTATTCAAGTCTCACACTTGGTGTTTCTTTAGTCTCATTGTGATAGTAACAGTTTGTTGTATATACCTTGATCCTGTGATAGCAGAAGCTGTTCAAAACCCACCTTTATAAGCTTCTACCGTTTTGAAATTGTCTACAATTAAAAGATCTAACCCTCCTTCGGGCAACAGAATCGGTACAAATGAGGTTTGCATTGATACTTAAAACATTTATTTCCCACCACTGCTGCATGAAACCTCCTCTCACAGACTCCAGTCTGTGGGAAACATAGCTTGATTTATTTGTAGGTTTTTCACCGGGGGAGCGGAGAGGGGAGAAAGAATGAGGACAGAAGCAGCAGCACAACCAAGTATGTGAACTCAGAGAAACTAAAGCTCGACTGAGGTACTGAGGGCTTTGGCATCTAGTTCTAAAGCAACAAAAACAAGCCCCCTGTATGGAGAGAAGAAAAAAAATTCACTCTTCTGAAGAGCGGACAAACATTTTGGCAAGTAGTTTACTTAATGTATTTCTCACTGCACTCATTTGTATCTGTACAAAATGCAAAGTTGACCACACAAGGCACGAGACAACAAAAATGAACATTTTTCCACTAACTGGGTAAGAACTTCTTGGCTACACGATTGGGCTCTTAAAAATACATGAATTCAACACTGCGCACCCTGGCACTAGGCAGACAGACTCAGAGCTGTCTAAAATGTCCTTTTATTGAGGAGCACCAACTTGGAGGTGTCATAACAACTGTTTTTCTCCCCTTCTGAAACATGGGAAGTAGGCATTTGGCAGGAGAGCACCTTTTTTTTAAGGCTTTAAAGGTTTTATTGAATGAATGAGCTAAGAAAATCTAGAGGCGGGTATATTTGAAAGTCAAAGAGTTTGAGAATGCATAGAGTCCTTCTCAGCACAAGTAAGTTTTCCTTGAAGCCTGTCTGGAAAGAGCAAAACCAAAGTGGTTTTGGATCTGGAGACCCTGTTACTTGTAGGATCTGAACAACAAATGGAAAAGCTTCAGTCTTAGTCCAAACAAGACCTAGCCTTGACAGTGGTTTACCTTCTCATTTCTGCTCTTCCTATTTTTCTGAGGAGTGGTTTTGGATGGGCTTAATGACCACTCAAGGCCTCTTGAAGTCTCAGTGACTTTATGTCTGCTGGACACTGAGGTCGCTTCAAGATCACGTCAACGAGATTTTCTACCCATGGGTAGCAGGAGGCCGCAATGTAGCTGAGGCTGCTCTCCAGGGGCAAAGGAGGAATCTTGGACGGGAACTGACAGTAGCCAGTCACTTAAGAAAAAGATCTCAGCTACTCAGAAATACGTCCTGCATGGCCAGTTTTACACAGCACAGATGAAAGAGACTTTTATTAAGAGGCAAGAAAGACTGTTAGCCAACTCAATGGGAGAGACTCAACTATTCCTCAAATACTACAGCAGCACATGCAAAACATGGTAAAAGAGGTAAAATGTAATGTAGCTAGTGGTTCTGATGGCTGGATAGGTGCTCCACTTAAACATGCTGGCAGCTACCCTCTGTGGGGGCTTGTCCAACGTTCAACGTGCAAAGGAGATTCAAACTGTCACTTGTCAAGAGGAACTTGGTCAACAATTTGTAATATTACAGCAAATTCAGCACCAACATGCAAAAAAAAAAAGGAACTTCATGCACATCTTACTATCTACACAGTTTAAAATAGCAACAGGCAGCAAAATCCTTAGGCAGAAGCTACAAAACACTGCTCGAGCTCTGTGTCTGTAAATACATGGGTATACACAATACAAGCATGAACTGTGTGTGCACAAACCTCAAACGCAATTAAATGCATAACTCCACAGCAGTCTTCAGCTAAAGACAGGCTGGCTCAACACCTTTGCAGACTTAAAATCATTCAGCTGCTAACTACCAGAGCACAACAGTCCGTATCAGGCAGAAACCTACTGCACTGAGCTTGTTTCTTCCGATAGCGCTCTGCACAAACATGTGAAGGTCCAGAGTCTTGCAATAACAGTCTCCTTCCCTCTCTGATGGTGGCATGGGCAGAGAGTGAGACAGAGTGAAAGAGTACAAGTAAGAGATTTCCAGTAGGTTCCTAGCTTTAGCTAAGTCAGAGAAAGCTTCTCATTTGTGGTATTTCAAGCATCCAACTTCTAAGTTGGGGGTGGGGGGGAAGGCAGCAACTTCTGAACTACAGCATTCAGCTCTGAGAAATGGACAAATCTGTGAGACAGAACAGGACACAGCAAAAGTCCTAATCTCTGATAGTCCCTCTTCTTCCCCTCCTTTTCCAATGCAGAAGTAGCAGCTATTTGCTTACAGATGCCTAACTTGAATTATATCAAAATTTGAGAGCCAGGTGATCTTCCAAGACACCCTTCCAAGGCCTGTGGACAGGGGCCATAGGACTTCGTCTCGAACCAGTCTAGCTCTACCAGCTCTTCCAGTTTTCTGCAATCTTGTCAAACGGCGCTCTACGGACGACTGGACTACATGTCCAACATCTCCTGTTTGACTGGCTATTGATTTTCCACTACCCTGCAGCCATCAAGTCATTCAGAAACTGCTACAAGGGATAGAAGAGTCAACCTCTCTGAACGCATTCACCGCTCAACTAGACATCAGAAGTCTATCACCGCCTTAAGCGTTAGGTTTTGTGAGAACTGCTAAGTGTTCTAGTCCAGCAGCAGAACTGCATTGTGATGCTGCTTGCCCCTAAGAAAATCAAAACCAGTACACTTTGGGGACTGGGGTGAAGGGAAAGTCAGGGAGACATCACATTTACTTACCTGCTATCACCAGCATTTGCCACGTAAAGCTTCCCCAATAAATACACCACAACAAGGGCTGTGCAGCCACCAGAAATATTATACACAGTTCTCTCTCGTTCTATTTGTAAATCCTACAAGAAAAAAGAACAAAAATTATAAAGATAATGTTGCAATTACTGTTTTAGAAGATCAAGATTCCCCTAAAAAGGGAGCATCTTTCTTAAATTGCGAGCCCCATTTAACTTTCTTCACACTTGCAGCTAGGGCTACATGTTCATGGAGATGAATGGGAAGTCTAAGAGTACCTACTACTTATCATACAAAGCTGTTTGGGAAAATTCAGGACAGAAGACTGTAAAATATGAGGCACCAAGGAATAAACGGTGAATCTGAGGGATGCAAGAGATTTTGCTATGGAAAAAGCACAATGAAGGCAAAGATAAATGTAGTTTGACAACAGGTACCTGGTGATGTAATTGCACAGCGCTTTGCATAGACAGGAAATAATTAATGGAGACCTAGCTATGACGTGAATCACTACTTGCTCTCCAAAAGGAAGGCTAGGACTGTGGAGCTTATACATTTACGAACAGCAGCAAACACACTCTTACTACAAGGCTATCCTTCAGGAGCACAGGGAATGAAGGTGTGCTGAATTTCTTAAAGGGAGAAAAGAAGGTCAGGAGAACAGCATTTACTGAAAAATACTCAGCAGTCACCGACTTTCCAAGTTGAGCCACCATATTTAAGGCTGTATGTCACCCCACTGCTTTCATGAGGCCACAAAAAGATTCAGCTTCTGTGCATGCACAGGCCCAAATTCAGGGAGGTATGCAGCTACTCAAACAGTTTTTCTTGTGCTTAACTTCTAACTGATTCCAAGTGTAAGAAGTATTAAACAAATAAAAAGAAAAAAGCCTTGCTGCTTAATAGAAACGGAGAACGCAAGTCACATCTATCACTGACAATCACTCAGGCCCAGGAGTATATATTGTCCCAGAAAAGCATGCAGATTATGTAAAACCATGTAAATGAGCTTTCCCGTACTCCATATATTTTAAACAAAAATTGAATTGTATGCCAATGAACTCATTCTGCTGCCTCTTAGTTTAGTTTGTAATAAAAATGCAACACGTTACAAATTACCCTCCTCTCCTATGGCCAGAATTAACCCCAATTTAGAACTGCTCTTTCCTTGTAGCACTAGGAGTCAAACAGGGAGTGAAACATGGTTACTGCAGGTGCTGGTTGATCTTTTCAGCTGAACCCTGCCTACTTGTATATGCTTTTACTGCAGATATATTTGTTTGCCTGTGCATGCGCTCACAGAGCTATACTTCAGTCACTTTCCTAGTTGCACTGAGCAACAAACAGCGCAAATTGTCCACGCCTTGGGGTGTGGGTTTTGGAGCTTTATGTTAGAGCTAAATTTATCTGAGGGAAAAGCACCACAACAAATGCTAAGCATGACAGCTGCAATTTGACTGAAAATCTGCAGAGCCGAAAGAGGCCAGAGACCACTCTTTGTTTCCTGCCCATTTCAGAAACGGGAGGAGATCTCGGGCGGTGGCGAGCAAGCGCGGCAGTGGCACGGTCCCCGCGGCGGGCAAGGCAGGAGGGGTTGCACTGCTGATAGCATCCATCACAAACAACACAGTTCCTCGCGGGTCGGGGCCCAATCCCATTTTCCATGGATCCA